ACCATGGCTTCTACACTTACACCTGAGATGGAGAAAGTACGCAAGGCGTAAATATCGGTATTGAGGAACGCCTACTGTGTTTACAGTGAATTTCCTGTGGTTGTAGCTTTGCTAGATCTCGAGAGCCGGCTTTTTACAGGCGTGAATGTGGAGAATGCCTCCTTCCTCTGTGGTTAGTGTGCTGAAGTCAGTGCTTTTGGGGCAGCTATCACAGCTGGAGTGAAGGGTTTCGTTGCGTTGACAGGGTATCAGTGAGTTTTGCTACGGGAAGAATATGCCCATATTATTGGTGAACGGAGAGGGCGAGTATCACCTCAGGAAGATTGAGGAATTACAAGCAATGGTTTTCCTCTCGAAGAATATGGATTTGAAGTAAATTAGTTTATTCAATCAGTTATGTCATTTCCATGGTAAATGTTTTAAAGTGCTTCTTTTCTGCTCTTTATTTCATTGTCTGTGATTCCAATCCCTATGAAGGGAGGAGTGAGGTTGTGGTTCGATTGAAAGGCTATCCGTATAGGGTTTGTCTCTGAATTTTGGATCCTGCTTAACTCTCTATCGGATGTTTGGATTAAGCCACAAAGGTGTCCTTTCTCCTGATTAGACTTGATTGAATTCGTGGTCTGCTGAGTGTGGCATGATTTTAGGTTCTCTGGTCTAATTAGCGTGTCAGAACGGGTGGGTACCGACCGAAAGGTTGCTTACGAATGGGACAGCCCTTTTGACAGCTAAGAGTGGTATGATGCTGCTCTAATCCTTCTGACTCGTTTGTCGTGGTAGCGAGATACGATTGAATTGAAATGTTCTCTCCACAATCTACAACGAACACCATCAGATTTGTGTTGAAAAAGATTCATTTCTTGCGAGAATTTCAGTTGTCAGTTCACTTAAGTGGATAGATACTTCTCTAATGTTTCGCTTGATTAAGCTACTTGGAGAATCGAGTGCTTAGCCTATTTTTTGGTTTGTTTCAAGAATAGCAGTTTTCTTCGAGTCTGTTGTGGTAAATTTTATCTTCAGTCCTATCTTCCGCGTGGACGGCGCGGTTCGCGGCTAAAACCAATGGTATAAACACAATGCAAAATGCACGTAGGGAGCGGTGTTCCGGTCACTGTCACCAATTCTAAGGCCGAATAAAGCAAAAGAAACGCATGTGTATACCAATGGTGAAATGTAATCCGTGCTGTAAACACAATCGCAACAGCTGCGACGTATGTAATGGTGGGAAGATTGGGCTCTTGTGCATAGCATGCATCGTGCAACCCATTTTCGAGCTCACTTTCTTAACGTCTTAAAAACGGCGTTCCTCATTTATGCGAGTCGAATAATGTTCAATAGCAACATGAAGGCCAGGACCTACCTTCACTGTTTTGGTCTGCATAGCATGACCATGAAATTTTGTTGGTTATGTTTATTCGCGTTGGCAGTCTCCACATTTAGAGAACTTGTGAAGGACGGTGAAACCAATTCATTGTGATGCCTTTTTTTTCTAAAGCACAAACTCATTAAGCACATGCATCGCCAAATCTAAGTAGCTTAGGATTCCTGCCTAGTGCGATTCAGGAGTACGATGAATTAATGAGACACGTTTAAAGCATGTTATCCATTTAGTCGAGTCAACAAATTCCAGTTACTGCAATAAGTGAGTTAACGCTCTTTGCTAAACATTCCCTTCTGCAAATAGACATACAATAAATCGCTCAATCTAGTTTGAGTAAAAAGTGCTTTCTTGGTGTTGCTCAAATTAATACCGTCATTGTCTTCACAGTGTATCTACCCCTTACCGAGTGCAGAGGTTTTAGTGTTGTCAAAATTTTTGCTTAGAAATTTTTAATGTTGTAGAGCTTAGGGCGGTACCTGGCAGCATAGAATATGCTTTAATAAGTGCTTTCAGTAATGAAACCTTCGCATTGCGTCCCTGGGCACTAAATATTTTAAAATTGTGCTTATTTGGACTCTCCATTGAGAGTACTTTGGAAATTGGTGTAAAGGAAAGGAAGGAATTTTTGAGAATAGAGCTAGTATATCAGTCTTATCACTACTACTTTAGCCGACACGGACAGTACGGCCGATCATGTGGCCAGATACCATGGTAAGGAGGCCGGGCTGTCCGGATAGAGAGATTATCGAATTTCAGTACATGAACTAACTGAATTTATGGTGCCTAAAGAAATATATGCCTTCAAAAAAGAACTATATTCCATGAGAGAGGAACAAATGACATTATCAATAAAATTGCTATTGAAAACCAGGACAATCAAAGACCAGATGAGAAACTTTTTATCCTTACAAAACTAGACTGTTCAGCATCGTACCATCACAGACGGCATGCATCAGGCTATCATCAGTACGGTGGTCTTTGCTGCATTCCTTGTCATATGTCTGTACTTTTCGCGCTCTTTTTTAATAAAATTTCTTATCATAGGATTGGTAGAAAATAGTAGAATCCATTGTACTTTTGAAAGATTTAATTGTTCTAAAGAATCATCGAAATATCCACATTTTTTGGTAAAATAGTAGTTAGAATTGCATTGCTGTAGTGTAAAAGGTGGTGAGAAAATTCATTTCCTAGAGAGCAAAACCCACTCTTGATGAGAATTACGCATGATGCCGTCTTCCATCCTCGCTGTTTCCAAGCTCTTTTTTTTTAAAGTAGTCATAAAGAAATCGCCCGTAGATGAAGCGAGTGAGCCAAACACTGTGATAGTTAGGAGTGTAGGAACGTTTAGATATCTGTAATTGCTGCGCTACATGTTGATCGTTTGCTTGACCTACAATTTCGATAGAGGCATCGATAATTCGCTCTCTCATTTTACTTAAATCAAGTTGTCTGACCGTAGGCGGTGCATGTTCTACCAGAGTAATATGTTTACCCGAAGGGCGCTACATAAGTAGTTGTGAAAAACGAAGGCAATCTATATTATACCTTGTTCTTGAGTTTTACGGGAAGGCTATTGATATTTAAAGCGACTCTTGCCACTAAAATTTGAAAAAGTTGCTTTCGAACCTGTCTGCGGCATTCGCATGCGGATGTAAATGAAGAAAACACTACAAATCCGTCACCTTTCAACTAGGTGGATGGAACTCAGATAGGGGCGCGTAGGCGGTATTAAATGGGGAAGGAGTAGGAAAGGAGAACAGACCAAAATTCTCCTTCCCATCATCTCCCATCAGTTGTTGGCTGACTGTGACTTATGACTAGTGGTGCTTCCACGCCTTGTGACAGAAAAGCTTGTTGGCTAGCACTTCCGTCGCAGCATCCACTCACCATAGAGGACAATTCTCCAGATTTTAGTTTTGGGTATCATGAAGAACCAATGTCGATTGGGTTTGACTAAACTAAAGCTCTGAGGACAATGCTCGGAGGAACGGAACATACAACACGTTGGTTGCTAGTTTAACTAGCGTTTTTAATTGAGAGTCATTGTGCAATTGCAAATGAGATTGCAATACGAAGAAATTTAAGTAGTAAAAACAATTGCTTAACATAGGAGTTTGATTAGAATAAATCATCAGAAATACAAACTTTAAATCGAAAGCAAAAGTTAGCACTCGGTAAGCAATGAATAAAGAAAACACTGAAATTATGCTAAATCACCATGCTGAAAGAGAATATATCGCACCTTTCCACTCTGCTTTCCTCACGGTAGTTGGTAGCAGTGTTTCTGACTGAGGACGCTCGAGTGATAGGTGCTCTGGAAGTGACCTGTTAGAGTATTCAAAGGGATCCACCACCAGATTCATGAATGCCTTAACTACTCGTCGATTGTCGAAGTCCGTCACCGAGACCATGTCTGCATTGGGTTCCTGAGTTAGCTGTATCCAACCCTCCTTCCAGGCATCATAGAAACACTTCCAACTAAGAGGCATAAATTCTTGTGTTGGAGGCACGAAGATAGCCTCACTAAGTGTAGGTCGTGTAATTTGAGGTTGAGCAAGCCACATGTCTGCCACATTTCCCTCCTGCCATGCGAACACACCGTAGGTTAGTGCCTCCAGCGGATTAAGCCATTGGCTTTGCATACCTCCAGGCTGAATTGCTGACACTCTAAACAGTTTCCTCCTAACCTTACACACTTTAAACTCCCTATTCATTGAGACAAGAAGCACATTCTTTGCCACTGCCTCTTCAGCAGGAATCCACATAGAGAGGTGATCATCCCATACGGTGACTCGGGTACCATTGTCAGTTGCGCGAATGTAACCGGTACGCCAGGCCTCACTAAAATCCATTTTAGTGCCATCGACCCTCCTTGCATAGGCATAGCCACGAACCAAATGCCACCCGAAAGATTCCCTTTCAATAAAGATTAGAGGACTACGGGAATCCAGAAGATTTGGTAAGGAGGCCAATCGAACATAACCGAGAGAGAAAGCTTCTTCGAATGGCAAATTCTTCCCTCTGATTGAATCTACGTAGTACGGCTGTTGATTACTCATACGCACCCATTTTCTATGTAAAGCGATAGCCATTGGTGTAAAGATTCCGGTTTTTTGATTTGCCACTTCGATAATTTTCTGCCATCTCGGTGAAAGGAGGCATTTGAAGTCGTCGCATAGCTCGTATTCCAGAATACGCACCCGAAGACGGAAGACGTGTAGTACTCTTCTGTCACTACAAAGGATACAGCATTTTGAAACCTCAAATAGGCTGAAATACAACTTATGAATTCAAAAGTGACATCATCAAAGGAGTTATTGGGTAAATAGCAAGGGTTTGTGCTTAAAAAGTGCATGGAACTTACGGAATCCTAAAAGGTTTTTCCATTATCCATGAGAATCCCGAATCAGAAAGCTGCTGTGAGTCATTCCCAATTTGAATGAGTTCCTTTTCAACTTTTACACATTCCTGGGACCGATTCTCTCTTTCTTCCATATGATAAGTTGAAATAACTTGAACTTGGCTCGTTTTGTATATTTTATTTGTCTTGTAAACATGGCGTTCTTTGCGATTGTCTGTCTTTTTCAAGTTACTGAGGTAGAAAGTGGTTTGACAAGAATGGTTATAAAATTGTTTGAAACCATCGAAGTCGTATTTTCTTTGGAATAGTGGACATTGAAACTGTTTAGCCTTCAAGGTAGTGACACATTCGCTCGATTCATGACCAATCCTCTGAACGTAGTCTTTGAGCCAGGCAGTAATGCAAATATCCACTTGGACCTCATCATCCTGTTGAATAATTTTTTGTTTCGGTGGACTTGAGGTAAGGGAACCATGTAAAAGTTCTACAACCTGATCGTCAATAAGATTACTTTCTTCATCGGTTCGTATTAGTGGTAGATGAGGTCGCATGAGTGCTGCGTAGTCATTACTTTCAAACCTCTTCACTGAGGAATGGAAGGGCGACTTAACGGAGTGAGAAGTTTGCACAGCTTTGACTCTACGGGTTTTGATTTTAGTTGTTTGTATAAGTGAGTATTTAGTGGTTGACCAAGGACTATGACTAATGGTCTTTGTTCCACTTGTTGGAGCAAAGTCATGGAGTAGACTGACCTCGGACAAACATTTTATTGTTTGAGTTGAGCTGTTTGCATGGCTGATCGAAGGACCTCGTGTAATATTAGATCCATCTAACAATGATGCTAGAGAACTACTAGGTTTCGAGACCAGACTCAGCCTAGACGCGGTGCAGATTTCCTCCATGTTTCGCGGGCGATATCCGTCTGTTGCCGTCTGTTGCTCAGTTGGCAGCAATGGAAGTGGTTCCATTATGGTAAGCAACTGTGTGGCCCGGGATAAAAGGGTTCCAGAAGTCTGTGCTAGTCTTACGTGCAAACCTGAAACAAGTTCCATATCTGAGGCGAAATTCAAGAGTGGTATAAATGACATTTCTGCTTTACCTATATAAGCACGTTTTACTTCCAAAACAGTCATTGTTGAGACGCTTCGTTTGTCAGAATATAGAAATTGAGTAAGTCGATGAAGGCGGTCTTGAGATACACCCGCTGCAAACCGAACTGTCTGGTCAATGGCACCTGAAGTTGACTGCCGTTTAAGAGGGACTAGGGAAGGGATGTTACTCACTCGATGATAAGACTTCCCATCCTTAAATAGTCCCTTCGAAATTTCCACGCTGATACGAGTTTGAATCGCGCACGATGCATAAGGTTTTGGCGAATCAACATGAAATAGATAATCGTAGTCAGTTTGACGCATTGTATCGATTCGAGCGGGTCTTATACCATTCTCCAACCGGCTCACTGCATTTGTGCAAATGATTTCAGTACAAGTAATGGAGGAATTGTGCTTCATAGCGGGGTACATCGTTTGCGTGTAAGTGCTGAAGTTGTTTAGTATTCTGTGAACAAAGCATTGCAAAATGTCTTCTTTTACAACCATCGTCTGCTGTTCTACTGATGTCTCCTCATCAGTGCCTTCCGGCGCCAAAGACCGAGCCATGTTTTTAAATGTGTTGCACATTTGCGCTGTATTCGCTGTAATAGATTTGGGAAATTGTGTGGCAGTAAGGGAGCTTGAGTTAAGTAGAAGTGGTGGTTTAACAAGAATACTAGAGGGACTTATTAAAATAGGCCTTTTTGGTTGCATTGAGGCCTCGTACCTGCCTAAGTCTATTTGGTTATCCAACCGATCTGATATATCATCATCAGCCATACATTTAACTTCCTTGAAAGTCATCACTGCTATGCATCGCAAATTCTTTCCAGTGGTGTGACTGGTGCTGACTTCGAGGGAATCCGATTTACTCAATTCAGCCCAAATGTCGCTGTAGTATTTCCCTTCACCAGGAGCTAATTGTGAATTACTCTGTCCAGAAGTCTTTGATACAATCGGCAAATTTTGTGCAACCTCATCAGGGGATGCAAATTGAATTGGTGTGACATACAATTTTTGGTCAGCTTTGGTAGAACCTTCACTTCCAGGATGATGGAGTCGTGCATTCTCAAGCGCTCTTGTCAGGGGTTCCACACTAATTCGAGTTTGAACTGAACATGAATTAAGCATCTTAGGTATGCCAACTTGAATGCGATTATCGTGGGTCGTCTGGTACACTCTATCAGTGAAAGCAAGTCTAGTTGAATTGGTAAGTGGACCGCAGCTCGGGAAGCAAATCGCTCTTAACATTTTACATTGCAATCCTCCATCATTGGCACATCTGACGCATTTATAAGTCATAGTAGAAATGCATACCAGATTGGATCCCACGGTTTGGGTGCAGGTGCTGAGAGTGGTCGGTGCATTCGAAACAAAACATTGAAAACTGTCCTTTGTTCCAATCTGACACGATTTCCCTACAAATATTGGTTCGACTTGCAGTGGTGCCGGAGTCTGCTGCTTCTGCAGAGCTAGTTGCTTTAATGGTTTAACTTCTTTAGACGTTTGCGCAGCAGTGGTTACAGAAGATTTGGATTTTTGTGTGGTACTAAGAGGGATTGAGATATGTAGAGAAGGTGGATGAGTATTAACACTTGCCGAACTCGTTACTCTGTATCTTTTTAGCTGATTTAGTGAGCCATGATCAGATACACGCTTAACTTCTTCAGAAGGGGTCATTGAAATAAATTGCCAATTCTTTTGCAAGAGGGGACTTCCACCATAGGTTTCAAGAGTTTGTGGAGCAGATAAAGCGTCAACACGAGATCCTTTCACTCTAATATTATATTTGCGCTCCACATCTGATGACAACACTTGAATTAGCGATGACTGCCGTTTAAGATTTATTTGGACAAAATCTTCAGTTATCTGAGGATGTGAATGCGCTTCCTCAAACATTCTTGTCAATATTTCCACACTGATTCGAGTTTGAACTGCATGCGAAACAAGTACCTTTGGTGCATCAGCCAGATCATTATCTCGGATTATCTGACGCACGTTACCGATCAGAACATACCCATCTGAAAAGATAGGTACAGCATAGTCAGAGGAAGTCATCGCTATTATGTGTTCACCCTCTACCCCTCCGTTAGCGTCACTTCTTATACCTTCAGAAGTCATGCTAGAAGTGCACCGCATTTCCAATCCCAGGATTTGGGTGTGCACTCTGTGGGTGATTGATGCTTTAGAAACATTGTATTGCAGACAGTCCTCTTCCACAATCAGACATGATTCCTCCAAAGGCAGTGATTGCGCTTGATGTAGCATCCTCGTCGGTTTTGTCGTTTGCATGTCTTTCAATGCACCTTCCGACTTTAGTGTATGTGGTAAGGACTGTACCGATTGGCACGCATGTGCAGCACTCGTTATAGAGGATTTAGTGATTTGTGCAAGAATGAGAGAGCTAGACAAATGTAGCAGAGGTGTTTTGACAAGGACACTGCTTGGTATAATCGGTGGAGCATAGTCGAATGATCTCAAACCAGTCGGATCTCCAAGTTGAGTCTCCTCATCTGCATCAAATTTGACATCTTTGATGGTCATGACCGAAGTACATGTCAAAGCGGATTCCAAGGTTTGCATGCTACATTTACTGCTGATAAAAGCACTCAGAAGCATACATTGTAGGTCCGCCTCCTCTATGAGCAAGACGGATTCGTGTGTTAGAGGCGATTCAGCTTGAAGTGGCTTGTTCTTCTGTCCTTCTATCAGCGTGCATTCAATGGAGGTCTGCCGTATTGTTGGATGTGGCAAGGGTTCAACAGTTTCGTGCGTTTGCGCATATCTTGGTAAGGGTAATCCATGTTTTGACGTGAAGATATAGAGGCTTGAAGATCCTGAAAATGGTGATATCACAGAAAAACCTGTTGAACCTATTGGAAGTCCATGAGGTCGCGATAAGGCTACTTGATGACTAAAATAGTCTGACAGATCACCGGATGTCACGCCTCCATATTCTGCAAAAGGCATTGTTGCTACAATTCCAATTTCCTAATTCGAAGGTTGAAAGAAGTTTGTAGCTTTTGAATTCATCAATTTTCATCAAATACACTAAAAGACTTCATTAACTTTACTCTGTCTTAAATTGCAGGCTTATTATTTGCTATTCAGACCGAACAAATGTGGCG